GTACTGGAGGTAGTTCAGGAGCAACAGGTGGAGCAGCAATCGCTGGTCCAGTTGATGCCATTTCCGGAGGTTCATCAGCAGGAGCTGGAAAGGAAGGAGTGCCTGAGGCTTCAGCCAGGTCGTCATTTTCCAAAGTCTCTGCAAGGCGCCGCCGTTTGAGGGCCTTCGTCATCTCCTCCTCGTGTTCTTCCACGTCCAGGAGGTCCTGCTTGTTGGCTCTGTTGAGGTCCGCAAAACGAGTGACTCCTCTGGACTTCAACTGACTGCTGTTAAATAAAAAGGTTGCTGTAGCATCCTTGAGGTTCTCGACAGCAGTGTCCTCAATGGCAGTGAAGTCAGGTCGGACATGATGAGGTGCTGCTCGAATCAGTTGGGTCTTATGAGCGCGCAAACAACTTTGGCTGGGCCTCGCCAATGGATCTTGCAGAGTTCATGCTGTTGGGCGTCACGCCAATAGAAGCATCGTTGGCCTGCCATCAATCGCTGATTGACGCCAGAGTAGCGTCTCAGCAATGCATGTCTCAGTTTCTTGTCAGTCTCAGCTTGGAGGATGGCAGTCTTGGCCACATTGCGCCGGCGCAAGTGCTTCTCAAAGTCTCATGGCCATGTAGCGCACAGTGAATGTAGAAGTCCAGGTTGGGCTGGTTGATAGCCAAGCGCCCATTGCGTCGTTGAAAAGCCAACAACCGTCGGCTGAGCATTCAACCGAGGGAGGATGTAGGTAAAGGCTTGTCGGATGCCATTTTTTCCTTCAAGCTGGAGGTCGTGCGCGGAGGGTTATCGTTCAACTTGGCCAAGACGCTCATGAGCTTCTCCAGGAGCGACTTCGTGGGCTATGCTGTGTTCATCGGACAGGTGACCCTCATCAGTCACCATTCCGGGAGGGCCAAAGTGTGCGATCCAATGTCGCTCCACACCAGTGATGTAGTCGCTGGTTTGCTCGGACTGCGCCTGACATGCCATTTGATATTTGGTGGCGCTGTCCAGGATGGCCAAAATGGGCCATTTCTTCTTGTCAGTCAGTGCGGATCCAGAAGATGTCAGCCTGGAAGTGATCGGCCTTGTGAGCTGTAGCCGGCGCCGGCTGGTTGGGCTTCTTGTAGCGGGAATGAAGTAGATCAACTATAGGGCCTGAGCAGATGGGTGTCCCAGGTTCTCGAAGGGCGTTCTGTTTGCCCTCTCTGTGGAGATCAACGCTCTTGCCCATGTATTGGGAATGTTCACGAACTGCGAAGGTGCCCTCCCAGAGTTGAGGCTTCTCTGAACACGCCAAGGCTGTGGCCAACGTAGAGCAGAAGGCAGGTTCATAGTCCTCCATGAACGAAGTGCCGTGAGCGCCAAAAGCCTTTCATGCGACCTTCAAGACGGCAATGTTCAGAGATTGCTCATAATCTCAGCCACTGACCGTTTGGAGGTCAAGATGGTGGTATCTTTCTTGGCGGGCTTCTATTGGTCATCGGTGTCCATGCAAACGGCTCCATACTGACACTGATGATGTCGAGCTCGGTATCCAGGAAGGGACTGGAAGGCCGATGTTTCCCAAGAAAGCGCTGAGGTCGGTTGCTCGATGTGGCTGTGACGTCCAGAGTTCACCTGCCACTGCTTGAGGTACACACGCTTGCAGTGGAACTGTGAAGGTGCATGAGTGCGATGGCGCCATTCTCGAAGACCTCGAAGAATCTCTTTCCTCTGTTCCGAGGTCGCTGAGATGTTCTGCATGCGGGACCATGGACCACAGCTGGGAGTTCCGCCACTTGCGAGAGCCTTGCGCGTCCAGTGTAGACTTCCCATAGAACGCGGGGTGGTGCGTGATGTTCTTCTCTGAGGACCTTGTCCACGGAGGCGTTCAGAGCTTGAGACTGCATCACAAGGGTCTTCCAGTGTTTCGTGGTAGGGAACGGTGTCCTCAGGCACGAGATCTTCGACCTGGTAGAGGCGCTCCTCCGTCAAGAAGTCTTCAAAGGAGCCGTGGTCACCAAAGCCGTTTATGAAGCTGCAAGTCGAAACTGGGCTCCCAACTCAGCTGCTCGGTGTCTAAGGTGGACGTGAGGCCCAGGAGGTATGCCTCATGGCGTTGCCGAACTTGATCTTCTGCTGGGCAAAGTCGATCGTCGTGTCCAAGGCCTTGATCACAGGGTGGCCGACCAGCATCGGCGTCTCGCCGGAGACAACGAAGCCTTGAATCAGGCCGCGCTGTCAGACGCGGACTTTGACGGTCCAGGCACTGATCGGTGGTCTCCACCAAAGTGGAATGCCCTCTGGCAGTGCTGGCAGTGGAACTTGGAGGTGTCATAGCCACCTTGCTCGGAAACTGCTTAGACATCGTCACCGACCACGATGGATTGAGAAGCGTGGCGTGAAACCCCATCCAAGGGCCGCTCCTACTTCGCAGGTGGTGAATCCACACCAGACTGGGATGACACTGGCCCGGTCTACGAGGAGGACGATGCCCACTACATGGACGAAGAAGAAACCTATGACGACACCTGGCAGGACTCCTTCGATGCTGATGCAGCATACTAACAGGAGGAGACCGACGACCTCGAGATTGAGTTTGACCCTGGTGAGTACGACGAGGCCTACGCCTCATATGTTGATGCTTGCAAGCGGTTCAATGACCTCAAGAAGTTGAGTCGAGGATTTCTCCCAGTTGCTGCACTTCACTACAAGACGCCCCACCCCATTCTCGAGCTCCACTCCTTCGCAAAGGGCATGGGCGTGGGAACAGGGAAGAAAGGCAAAAGTAAAGGAAAGGACAAGAGCACCTACCGCTATGACAAGGCTCCTGCCAAACAACCTGATCCCAAAGGACGAGGCCGCGCTGCTTTGGCACCAGCTTGCGTGCGCTGTGGATCGTCACAAGACCGCGCAGTGCACTCAGGTGAGCTGAACAGCTCCTACCTCTTCTGGCAGGCGCCAAGCAATTGAAAGTATGGCCATCCTGAACGATGAGAGCTCCATGATCACGCAGGCCATGAGAGGCCTGACTGTGCGATGTTGGACCCTGGCGCTTCATCGTTTTTGATGGGCTCTGGACCTTTGGTTTGCTACGCGCATCACCTCAACTGTCAAGCAGCTTGCTCGAAGTAGGCAGAGAAGTCTGCTGGCATCTCCACGTTGGAGTCATACTGAAAGGAACCATCTAAGATCTTCAAGATCTCCTGCAGGGCATTTGGGTCCTCGGCCTTGTCGAGGTTGAAGTCTTCACAAAGCTTCCAGGCCACGCCAGACCAGACAAACTGCCTAGCAGGTTCAGGATGGCCTCGCCCTGCCGCTTTGACAGGGTCATCTTCCTCTGGTAGATGGTGATCCTCGTCCGCCATTCACGTTAGGGACACTACCCTTCCGTTTGCCTCTGAAGTGAACCTGGAAGGTGTGGATGTTGTAGTGTAGAGCGGAGCGGCAGGAAGCGGCCCAAGGAGGAAACGCTCCGCTACCAATGTCACTTGGACAAGGGTAGCAAAGCACACTGAACAAGGTTTCCGATCTCAAGGCGAAGCGGACAAGATCTTCGCACTCTTTTCTCTATGCCATTGGTCAAGGCGTACGCGAATCCCACCACTTCGAAGGGGCGGTTAGGGCCGATAGGCCAGCAACATGAAACATACCATCGGTGGCATGAGTTGAAAGCTTGAAACTCACAAATCTATATATCTACTTATACATGTTGGACCTCCCCCGCCAAAACCAAGGTTAGTGGGATCTGAAAACAAGATCATGTTCCGGGCACCTCGGTTGACAAGGGATAAATGATGAATAAATGAGGAGCGTAACAAGAATGGATGGTGCCTAGACTAACCAGACACTCAAGTTCTACCGGCACTCAAGTCAGTAGGTGGATGGATGTGGGTACATAATGGTACATAGCGTGTTTGCCTGTCTTTCTCATGGCGGCATCTTTTGCATGTACTTGGATTCTGGACACCGGATCGTCACATTTTGGAACAGGAAATTTGGGTGTTGCTAAGCGAGCAAAGGCCTGGCTCATCTCAAAGCATACTCGAAGCTTGGACAGTTTCGACCCGCAGGCGACCCACATCCATGCGGTCAACATGGTCAACACACAAGACACATGAGAAATATATAGACAATAAATGACACAAGTAGTGGACACAAACAATCCTGAGGACAAATTCCCTGGATCCGGATCAACAACCTGCTCAGATTCCTTGCCTGTTCAGAAATACTGTAACGTGAACCAACCATTCAATGAGGACAACAGTAGTTGCAAAAGCAGAACATTTTCTGCCTCCAAGTAGTGCTCCCAGGTCAATGTCAGCTTGAGCTTCGCCTCGAATACCTCCCAATGTGGCAACTGTCTTTGACCTTTCATGAGCTTTTCTGCTTCCTTTGCTCTGTTTCCAAACTTTATCCTAGTCACAACTCCCATCTGTCAATTTGATGTACAACTGAGGCCCTGCCGAATATAGAGTCGGTAATGAAAAGTAGACAAGTAAGGACCAATAATCGCAAGTCATCTGCTTGGGGGGGCCACATGCTGAATCAGTTAATAAGTTAAACCTATGATTTCTGGTCGTCCCAACAGCGGAATTGAAAAACCGTGTGCAAAGTAAACTGCAATGTGATTGACAAGTGACAGCAACGGAAAACATGTACGCCTTGGAAGCAAAGCAGGGCGAGCAATTTGACCACGCCCATGGCCGGAACGTGAGGCTGGTGTGGCTTCATTTTGATGCATTATTTACTGGCTTTTGCAACAGGTACTATATGTGTATTTTGAAGAAAGAAGTTTTTGACAAACTTGGCTCGCCTCTCTGAAACTTATATCGGTTGGCTCAAACATCTTCAATTGCACCATGTTATTCAAAAGACTCTTGTTCAATTCTTTATATAAATGATTATAAATGTTTGTGTGCGCGTGTGTGCATGCCGCAGCATGCAGATGTGTTTTGCTGCCTGACAACCTTGCTCAGTACATGCAAAACGAGTGTGTCTAAGTGCGCAAATTGAGATTCGGCAAGAGCTGATAAGAGCCGGACCAAGTATATCCCATCAAGCAAGGATGCACTTGCAGGCTCTGCATCGTTTGGAGCCATGACCTAGGATCAACATGGATCCGAGTCGCAAGGAATTAGGATCTCATTTGTTCACGCAAATCTCCTGAAAGTTTATCTGGTCTTGTCTGTCTCTACAAACATCAAATTGCCCTAGGCCCATGGAAGGCCCAAAAACATCGAACAATACCCACGTCCAAAACATTAAATTGAACTGGCCGGGAAACCAACGGCTTGGATATGTTGATCCTTTAAGCTCCTTTTAGTTGGGTTCCTTAGTTCCTTGAGGTGTTGCTTCGTTGGGTGAACTTACTATGCTAACCTGCTCCAAATGGCGAGCCTGTGTCCTGAAAACGACGTTCCTCGTTCCTCAGAGTAAACTGATACATTGATTTAATTTCATTGCACGTACTAAATCCCTGGCCTGACCCCCACAATCATTCCTGGGACTAAGAAGAGCGGGGCCACGGCTGAGTATGCTTTGAAGAACAATCCACTATAACCCACTAGAGTGGTGCACAGTCCTGCGTATCTCTCCTTCTCTAGGCTGGGATGTTGTTACTTTCATCGCATGCTTCAAGATGCTAGCTCGGAACGGAGTCATTGATCTGCCTCTCGCATAGTGTGCCAATGCTTCTTCAGCACGTAGATTGGGTTTCTCTTTAGTGAGCCCGGTTTTTTCTTCCGGACCTTCACCTTCCCTGGCAGTTGGCATCAGCACCGCACTCTGGTTTCAGAACTCTCTTATCAACCACGAAGAAAACTCGGAATGATTTATCCGTCTTAACGACACCACACTTCCAGATTTGTGATTAACATTGTCTAATTGGCTATGCGATTCATCCCACTTGTCAGTTTTGCTTTCTTTGTTCGGCCACGGCCTCAGTTTCTTGCTTTTGTGTTTTTTCGTGTTCCATTTTCTCGCTGTATGTTGTTTCCGCATTGGGGACCAACCAAGTTGTGCCTCAGTGTCAAGATTATGCAAGGAGGAAAGCATCCATTTAGGTCCCTTTTTAGTTTAATACCCTGTCCCCAGTTATCTACATAGTTTATCCCCCACACCTTTCACCATTTTATAGAAATAAATGGGGACCCAACCCCCCACGTGTATAAATTGAAAAGTCTACCTAACGTGAGTTTATATAAAATGAGTAGTCTGCAGGTCATTTTTCTATTGTTATGGTCTTCATTGAATTTCAATCACTTCTGAGGCTGCATGTTTTCTTATTTAGAAAGGCAAAATTTCTGGGCGCTATAGTTTTCTTGAGTCTTTGAAACTTGATTTATCTTGTTCCATGTCATTTCTCTGTTCTTTTTTTTGCATCTCCGAAATGTGTACAATATTGGATCATTGTTTTGTCTCCACTTTTCTGCGCTGCTCAGGTGATTGTTCTTTTGTGGATTGGAAGCTATTCCAATCAGGGCCTGCAGGCTACCCAAGCGCAACTGCAGTTTCCCATCGCACCCCAGCTGGACTGCCACAAAGGCTCTCCCTGCCACAAAATGTTCACCCTGCCACAAAAAATGCTGCTGTGGGCCCTAGGAAAATTTGCACAACAAGTCTACAGGCAAACGTTTTTATGCAGTGGTGCGGGGGTCAAGGCATGCCATTTTAAAGAGAAAAGGTTTGCTTTCCAGATCCTGCCAGGTCTGCTGGGCTGGGCCCCAATGCTTTGAAGTTATTTTCTTGATCCAAAAGGCAGCCCACAAATAGATCTGTTTATATACAGTAGATACAAAATCATTGTTGGCAACTTTTTTGTAAACAAGTCCAAAGGCAAACCTTTCTATACAGCGGTGAGGGAGGGGTCAAGGCAGGCCATTTCATAGAGATGAGGTGGGGCTGGGGGGCTGCCAGGCCCTACGGGGATCTGCCACGTCTGCTGGACTGGGCCTCAATGCTGTGAACTAAAGGCACACGCGCATGTAAAAGTATATGCATAAACACGCAGACTCAATGCTGGCCACTGGCAATGTTCAGCCTGCCATAAGGAATTCTGTTGTGGGCAGTAGAAATATTTCCACAACAGGTCTACAAGCAGACCTGTTTATACAGTGGCGAGAGGGTTAAGGCGTGCCATTTTATAGAGATGAGGTGTGGGGACTGCCAGGTTTTAGAGAAAATGCGGCCTATAGGCTTCCCAGAGCCTGCCAGGTCCCAAAGCTGTGAAGTTATTGATCCAAAGGGCAACCCACAATTAAAATTACTGAAGTACACCAAATGTGCTTCCCAACACTCCTGCTTCTCATTGAATACCGGGGGCTCCATCTTGCCATTTTGGCAGGACATCTTTGGACCGCGGTAATCGGTAATCCAGCGGAGCGCTCATCTTGATCAAATTAATGATCAAACGGCTACGGATCGGATGAGTGCAGTTCACATCAACTGACAAAAAGTCAAAAAACTTGTACACACACACACTGCAACAAGCCCGTTTTCTCTATTAAATGGGAGGGCCCACCCCTCCTATTCTCCTATCCCCTGGTATCTATAAGTCGTTTTATGGGAGGGTTGATCCCTCCCATTCTATAAGCCAGAAGGTGACCAGGATCATAGTTTTGCTTTCTGGCCGCATTGCCCGTCTCCTTCATCACTGAGCGCTTTGTTTAGACTGAAGACTCAAGACCTTCCGCACTGCCAGGGGCAGCCTATAGGAGGATTTTGGAGCTGAAGTGGTGTGTAGTGGCCTGACATATTATGGTGATGTGGCGTGTGATGGACTCATACTCGTACTCCTAGAATGCACTCGCCAATGCAATTGCAAGCACAAAGCAACGTCCCCCCTGAAAGCCTGAGAGTGGGAACCCAAAGCAACCTGCGGAGGTATTTTAGTCACCAACCTCCAACCTCACTGCGTGAAACAGCAGTTATATATAGAACATATTATTAGAACCAAGCAAAGCCGCTCCCGTCCCGAGACTGTGCCCACTGTCCACTATGCATCGCTTGCGACTGCCTGCAACCTCCGACACGCAAGCCCATACTGCATTTCATGCGCCCTCTTGTCTATTTTACACACGTTCCAGGCGCATGTTCACAGCACAACATGAACAACATGAACATACGCACAAAACTTCTTTGTCATTTTGGTTTCCCAACATGGAAGTTGCCTGCAAACATCCATTGTACATGATTGATGCTGAATATAAGAGAGTGTCCACAAAAGGGTTCATCAATTTTTGCTAATCGCCGACACCAATGTTATCCAATGAATCCGCATCATTAGGGCTCTTTGTCAAACAACTTGAGGAGGATCGAGGCACGCACATGGAAGTTTGGTGTTCCACTGAGGCCATCCCAGTCAGCTTCATCGACCTGGTCCAAGGATTCCCACATCAGGGCCAAACACCCCCAACAGATTTACTACACCTCCATCTCTTGATCATCCAGCCTGACCAGTGTAGAGCAAGCGCAAGAAAAACAGCAGGTCTGCCTGTGTCCTGACATCTCTCAAACCCACTCGCAATCCTTTGCACGGCTTATTGCAAACCAGGAAAGTCCTAGCAACACATCCGGAGAACACCAAACCGCCATGGCACTGCATATGTGAATCCAAATGCACGGAACACATGACACATACCAAACAAAATAATGGTTCCAGCAAGCTACCTGACCCAATTGAGCAACCGCCTTTTGAAAACAGTGCAACCACAATCACAAGTAACTTGCCCATGTAACAATAGAAGAGCATGGGTTGCCTAGAGGCATCTGGATTCATAGCTTTCACCAAGGGCACGCCATGTTGTGTCAAATCTTTCACATGATGAAGGTAAAAAAAACATGGTGTACAATTCCGAAAGGCACACTGACATTAGACACCAGAGTGCTACCTCAGGTCAGTAACCCAATATCATTGCTATCAGATATCATTTGTATAAACTCGAAACACAAGCAGCACAGAGTTCGCAACGACTATTGAAAAAACACACACAAATCACACTGGTACAAGCTCAAAATCATGAAGTCACAACGACTTTCCTATTTGGGAGTAGGGATGCTGAAAGTAAGGTGTAAACTACCTCTAGGCACCACACACATCTGTCAGCTCTACCATCTTGGTGCGACCTGCAGAGTCAATTATCGTGACGTTTTGGCAACGGAAGCCTTTCACAAATCCAGCCAAAAGATGCTAACAGGTAAAAACAATTTTGTATAGTAGTAGACTTGGCTAACTTTGTGCACATTGATACTGATCGCTTACATCGTTTTCTTAGTGTCCTAGCTTCCTTCCCCCCAAAATGCAGCAGTTGCTGTGCCTTCGGACATCTCTCCGGTGAGCATCTGCCGAAAAGGCTTCGATACAGCTCGTAAAACCGCGGAATGGGCCATGGCTGTACCATCCTGCAACTTGCAATTCATGAAACAACACCTTTATGAACTACATTAAAAAGCTCCCCAGCTGCCAAGCATGCACGTTGCAGAAACATATCAAACCATACCATTGTATCATTGTATGAGTGCGTTGGTCCTTCGTCTGGAACTTCACGTCCTGCAGTCATGGAGTGCAAAAACAACAATTCTAATTCTTGTCCTAATAGATTCTTATTCCTAGTAGTAAGGCCAGGAGCCCCTAGTAGCGTCCTTGCTCCTAGTAGCCCCTAGTAGCTTCTTGTTCCTAGTAGCGTCATACTTTGAGAGTTGCTGTGAACAAAACAATATGCATTGTATGGTCTACGAGGTGGGGACTCCTTACCCTCCTCGTCTGCGAAGAGCAACTGGCAGAATTAAACACCAACTTGTCGGCTTTATGTATAGTATTTGCGCTGCGGTTCACAAAGTTGTCAAAACAGCCCCGGGGCCACAAAGGAAGGCAAAAAGGCATCTGCCAGGCCATTCGTTATGTATTGATCAAAGTTCGTGGAATAGTTACTCTTGTTTCACAACAACACTGCAAAGCCTCACCAAAGTTGAGGTAGTGAGTTCGAACGCACGAGTACCTCAACACCAAGTCGCTGGATTCTTGCCATGGAAGGTCATCGACTTCAGCGCTGCTACATGTGCAGGCACACAAAAGGCCTGGCCTGGTTATTTTTGCCGCTTTGCACCGGTCTGATCCGCTCCCAACCATTGTTGGCTGAGCTTTGACATGGTGTTAAAAGCGCTAGTCTCGGACATGAAAAAACTGAATTACTTGCTGATATTTTTCTCCGAACATAGCAAAGCAATCGAACCAAACAACTGCATCTTCTACTTGTGTTTACTTATGCTACCGGTGCGAAGCTGATCTGCCGACAAACGAACTACCTGACTACCACCATCCTTTTTGCTTCCCTACAGTTAGGGTCCGCTCAGGATTGAAGCCTTGGGCGCAAACCAAACCAAAGCCGACACACGCAAAGCAAAAAAAACTGGCAGCTTTGTGAGGCTATGACGGGCATACTCCTCCTCTGGACTGAGCTTGCGTTGACCCGAGGCACTATGAAGATTTCGGTTCAGCACAGCCTGGGCCCAAACTCTTTGAAGGCCAGAAGCTTCTTGGAAAGTGCTGCGCACGTAAACCAATATCATCACAGTGCAAGCCAAAGCAGTATGTTATACTCGAAAGTAACAGCGGCGAAACATCTTTTCTTGCAACCTCGAGCGTTGTGTCTGGTGGGCCGTCGACCGCCGGAAACCCAACGGGTCCGGCTTCAACATTGTTTTATAAAACAAATGTATATATATATATATGGGAGTTGATCTAAAATCCTTTATCCGGGATCCGTCATTTTCGCCAAAAAAATTACTTTCGCCAAACTTTCGCCTTCCTGCGTTTTATCTTTCGCCGAAGTACGTTGTATTTATGTGTGCCATGTATGTTGTCTTTTGTTCACGTCAATGGCTTCTTCTTTACTGGCAAACACAAAATAGAAACTTCACTGTTTGTCAGCATGTGTCTTCTACTTAACTGTTGACACCCTGTACGTCTCTTTTGTTTCTCCTGGGTGTCAGCAAGAATCAAAATTGCAAGAATCACTGTAGTAGCCGGTCACTCAAACTTACTCATAATGGGCTGGGGGTCAGATGTGGCAGGGTGAACTTTCGCCAATCTTGAGCTGAACTTTCGCCAAAATTTCGCCTTTTGCGGGGTAGAGTTTTGTGGCAAAGCCACCCCCCCAAAGCAGGAGCAGGAATAGTAGTAGTAGTAGTAGTCGTAGTGGTAGTGGTAGTAGTAGTAGTAGTAGCAGTCGTAGTAGTAGTAGTAGCAGCCGCAGCAGCAGCAGGTTATCTAACTTCCACAGCTCATCTAGCTTCTGAGTCACTGCCACCAGCTGTTCAGAAAGCAAATGAACATTCTACATATTCAATCTTTCGCCAGATCTTTCGCCAAAAAGAAATTACTTTCGGCAACTCGAGAAAAAACTTTCGCCAAATGAGATTTTGATATGTTCCGGGTCATCGTCATACACACTGCTGACTAGGACCTTTAGATCGACAACCATATATACAATGTATATATTCAAATATTCTTGTAACTATATATATGTATAAGTTTCCGTATTAGATTTGTACCAGCAAAACTCAAATGTAAAAAGGAACAATTTCAATACCAAAACGATGCAATAGTATGGAAGCACTCCCTATCATTTGTGCGAGGTCGTTGCTGGTTTTGCTACGTCTCTCTCCAGCAAAAGGCCTCAAAACTGTTTGGGCCACGTGACTTCAGCCTCCGCCATGCTGAAGTAAAGCTGCCTATGGAAAGCACGCCCTTGCCTTACCTGCGGCAGGCTCGCAAAGCATGTGCATGTCTCCAAAGCCATGCTACATGACTTTCACCCCCAGCCGCTAACATGACTAGCAGCAGCAACTGGCCACCATTACCCAGCAATTGTTCACATTCCTCCCCCGTAATTATTCCAATCTCCTGAGGCATAACTTGCTTGATGGCTTTGGCTTTGAAACAGTCAAACCTCATCGCATCTCTTGTAAATGACCCAGACTACACCGGGATACCAAGCATTTCAACAGTGCAGAACAAATTTGAAAAGGCGCCAAAGGGCCAGCACGCTGCCTGACGGTCCAGCACGTTTCGGGCCTGGGCTCAGCTCACTAGTTTTCCTCACAACTCGCAAGCTTTATTTTTTGATCTCTACATTCCAAAGAAAAACTACAGTAACCAAGTAATCGCCAGACAGTCGGACAAAAGCGAAGAGAAAAACACAGCAAAATGCCTGCACGATTTTCTCCACATCCTCGTGATTCATGGGACGGCCTCGTGGTTTCGATACAAAATGAACAAAATGAGTAATTACATGCTTCAAAAACACGAAAGATATTATGCACAAATCTATACTCATAGTTTGTTGCAAAATCATGCAACATCCATCTGACTTCAAAAAATAATTGATGAAGCACATGCCGACAAATAATATGTAATGTATTGTGGATTATTGTGGTGCTACTGTAGTAGCTTCTCAGCGTGTTCTACACAACTTCGTTCGGGCCTGGAAAGCGTTTGGTGTGTTCTTGGTCCATGATCTCCATGCGCCTCAAATCCCCGGAGTTTGAAACGAACAACTCGTCGTTTTTTTTCTGCATCACCAAAAAGGTCCCGGATCAGACTGGGCCAGGCACACCATTTGCTCAACAGCTTCCTTTAAGTCTCGGCGTTCTGATCTGCCAATGCTGTCACACGGAATGGCCAAAACAAAACATCCCAGGCCCAGTGAAAGTACAAAAGCAAATATCAGCCATGCCTCAGCCTTTCACGCCAGTGCCTTCGGTGGAAGCAAGCCAAGGTCGAGGTGCAGGTGCTACAAGCAGTTCGCTTCTCAAGATTCCGGCCAAAGCTCACGCTGAAATATAGCTCGCTTTAGGAGTGTCTGGGCCTCTGATTCAAGATTAGCACATCCTCCACGAGCACTTCAGCAGCACTCTTGAGCATGCCGAATCACTGTTGTCCCTTCTTAAAGCCACGCCAGGTTGACTGGAGCAGATGCCCTCACTGCAGAACCACCAAACTGTTTGAACTCTTCGATCTTCTGCCCTTGGCGCTGTGTCTACTTTGCTGTGGAGTGGTGAATGAAGGATACACTGGAAGAATTGCGCAACTTTTAGCATGGCTGGTGTCGGCGCTGCAAACCGCACCGACCATACAGTAAGTAGAATTACGGTAGCCAGTGGGTCTGGGCATGGCGGGCGTGGCTTAGAACCTCTTTTCAAACAGGTTGTCAGGAAAATGCTGACACAATCTACTGTAACAACAGGAAGTGCAACGAAAAACAGGAAGAGTTGGCAATTAGTGGTTATGCACAAAAATACAACAAGGGTGAGTCGGAATGCATGGTGAGATTCATGCAGGGTATAGTGAAAAAAATTGACTAACTTACGTTGACAGTGCCCAAGCTGGTGGTCAGGTGAACAGGTACGCAACATGATTCCATGATGTTCCATGTGTCAGCCTGAGCTCATTGAGTCCGTCACCCAATTTGGCTGCGCTGAAACTTGCGTCGGCCATGGCCCATTGCAAGAGTCTGCAAGCCTCAAGTCTCTGCATGAACTTGGAAAACGACCAAGAAACTGTCTAACCTAATCACAATACGGCAACACATATGCCTTGAAAAACATCTAGTTGTACTATGTTGTACTTAGCTACAGTATCTCGACAAGGTTCTACAGTCACAACATGTTCTTGTTTGCCCGCGCCTCTGAAAGCTGCCCCTTCTCTCCTTCCTGGAGTGATCCATCGTTGGCATGTCATTCCGCTCTGTGCTGACTGATTTGGACACACCCAAATTGTTTGAGCACGTGTTGAACATGTTCAACTTCTAGGCTCCACGAACGCCCCTAGTGATATTGTTCCTAAGTGATGTGCTGCCCTTTATCGAGCCAGGGCTGGCAGTCAGCCCTTCCATGCGAGGCCGTTTTCACAGGCATGGGTGAGCTTGCAACCCTTGAGGTTGCACTTGTTGAGTTGTAACTTGTGGCATATGCGTTTGCCTTTTCCCTTGGATTTGCGCTTGCCCTTCCACTGCTGGGGCCACAAGATGCCACAAGTGTAACCCACTCCCGAAACACGCTGCTGTGTGGATGGCCTTGTCGATGCTGTGGTCTTCCAGGAAAGGTTGCAACTGGCGACACAATTCAGCGTCTGCTGCTTGCCTCTGCTTTCGGCGGAAGAGTCCTAATGCCAGCCGACGAGCGACTAGGCCAGCGCCCCGAACCGTGAAAGGTGTGCCCTTTTCCTTCGACACCAGCGAGCAGCGAATGGAGGCTTCGGCAAGCACCGAGGGTGTGGTCAAAGCTTTTGCCCATGAGCTTCGATTTCTCGTGTTGCGTTTCAGAAGGACCGATACAGTACTTAAGCAGGAAACCGTCTTCCTGTTACTGTTGTAGATACACCATGATGAACCGGCTGTTTGAGTTGACGGCAAGGCTTGTTGTCTGCTTTGCGGGCCTCAGCGGGGATTATATCTTCTCGAATTCTTGAAGTCATTGAAGTCCGACCACATAGCTCGGATTCTTGCGCCATCAATCACCGCCGCTGTCTTGACCCGTATTTGCCTCAACCCTTGAACCACACAGCGCGAAGGGCCGCCTTGATGGGATGCCACTTCCAAGCGTCGCCATCTTGATGCTTGTACAAGTCGTTTGGGATACACTTCCACCGCGGTACCATCTTGACGGCGCGGCGCCATCTTGACAAGCGTGCGCAAGCACCTCCAAGCTGCCACGACGAAGCAAGCCTTTCCGCCTTCTGGCATGCCCGTCCACGCAGGACGCTTCCCTCGGCTCCCACACAAGCAAAGGAAGAAACTACAATGACAAGCAGTCAGGCAAGACGCCGCTGCCGAAGCTTTCACCAGCAATGGTGTTGGTGATACCCGAGGCCCCCATCCGGCTCTTGCGCCCTCGCACCACACTGCCAACCAAGAAGCGTAAGCCCCACGTGGGCAAGCAGCCCCATCGGCCCCACCACAAGAACCTAGCAGACTACCTTATTCTTATCCTGGCCTGCGCAATGCACACCCCTCAAGGCCTTCTTGGCTGGGTCAACCTCGCGCTGACGCAGGCATCATACCAGGCCGGTGAAAACCAATGCTATCTTTTTTTTTGTGGAAGAGTCGGGGAGGTGGTGGGCAAAAGGGCAAAACCTAAACCGACGATGCACCGAACGATCTCACACTTTTTAACTACACAACTTAGAGGAACCGCGCGTATATAATAATAAAACCGGGAATGGGGGCTAGAGACTAGCGCTCGTTCAAGCACACCCGGCATGGCTCAGGTGTCCTACAACAAACTACTTCAGCTTAGTAGTGCTACTTAATGTTGGATCCTGATGAATAAACGAACCCCCTTAACAAATGGGAGGTCCTTTATAATAAGCGACCACCAAAACAAATCTGGGTTCTTAGGAGGATTCCTTTTTCTTGTAGAGTGCAAAGAAGGTTCTCAGGTTCTCTGCGGCTTTGAAGAAGAACTAGATGGCTGGCTTAGCAGTGCCAGGGATTGTTGTATAAAATCTATTAACAAATCCCGGCCCAAGACCTAATTAAAAACTTTGCGCGGTTGAGGACCCTTGATAAATTTCTTATTCAGGATCAGGGGCCTTCTTGGTCTATTACCTTGAAAATTTGAAGGAGGAATTGGTGGCTTTGGGAGGCCGTCAGTTTGGAGGAACAACTTGAGAAACCTATACTTATCAACAATCTCAGCAAACCAGTCATTTTGGCTTGGTAGGATTCCGAAGGATTTAAGCCCCTCTATATATATATATACAGCGTTATTTTTCATATAACAAATGCCTGATGGAACCCACGAACCCGAATGTGAGATAATATACCCGCCTGAAAGGAGCGGATTGATGTCAGACATGGGACACAGCCCAAAATATCCGATCGGATTCCTTTTCTCACGCGTGCAAGTGCAGCAGCAGCGCCCTTGTAAGGCACTCTTGTGGAAAACGGGACGCTTTTGTGGGGCACCCTTGTGGGACATTCTTGTGGGACACTCTGGCAGAAAACTCCTGTGGGGCAGTCTTGGACTCTTTTGTCAAAGGCACGGGACATCACAGATGGAATGGCCACACGGTCCGCCACAGACTAGATCTACATCTACATGTGTGAGTTGTAGGTTAGTGCCAAACAAATATTTAATTGATTATTTTTTTAAATGATTTTGATACACTGTGGGTTATGTTTTTTAATTTTAATGGCTTTGTATGGGTGTTAAGGCGCCCTTGAATTTGATATGAACATGTTTATGATTTTCTTATGGTTTAAAACTGCTGCCAATTGCTGCAAAACAATTATGAAAAAGATATGGTTCGAGTGTGTTTTTGAGTATTTCTAAAAAATAGTCATAGTTGTGAAAGTATGGTGCAAATATTTTTCAATACTTGAAGAATGGTGGTTTGATTAAGAAAACTAACTGAGTAAACTTCACCAGCGAAGGGAAATTGTTAAACATTCCGAGGAGGCACTCCAATGCTCATGCCCAAGCAACGTAGGGACGCTTGGTGTCCTTTCTGTTTATTAGCTTGTTAGTAGCTATTGCCTTACAAATCCTTCTGCCTAGGACCTATAGGAAAGGTGTAGTATATAGAGAGAACTGTAGGGCATGTACGGTAGGGCCAGGGCCTAGTTAGGGAACTGTATGGGCCTAGCTAGGCATCAACAGTACCAAGCCCCGTCAACACCGCCAGCCATCCCCGCTGAATTTACACCAGCGTGCTTTCTTGCTCCAAATGCGCGGAATCACGCAAACGCACTTTCCGCCGGCCACCGAGGCCGCGCGCAAATGCGTGCCACAGCGACAATTTGGCCACACAGTGTGCCACAGACTACACAATACAGCCATGCATGTAACATCGAGTGTTGGGGGCGCCACAACGCAGGCGGACTTTGCGCCACAGACTACATACAACCAAGGCGCTTGTTTCACACGAGACTGCCTCCAACACACGTCAAGTCTGCAAAACGAGCGCTTCGTACGAGGCTTCCTCCAAAATGCGCGTGAGTCTCCAAAACAAGCGCTTCGTACGAGACTTCCTCCAAAAGTGAATGAAGCGGGAAGACCCATCGGAGCAAGCGCATCCAGCAGCCCTGCCAAGCAGTTTCGCGAGTTCAGCCTCTCCAAACCACACCCGCTGACACGCCAATCCCATGTCTGGCAACATTCACCTCCACCAAGATTCCCTGCGCCTGCCCCGAAAAGTGACAATATCACACCTTCATAGCTTCCGCAAATTTTGCGCCGCGCCACACGTTTGGAATGATTTCGACACAGTCTCCGCGCACTCCCATCCATCGAAATCGCCATTTGAGCTCAGACTTGTCACGAAAACACAGCTTCGAAGCAATAGCCTCAAACGCAGATCCCAATGTCACAGCCACATCCAACGCCCCCGAAACACCACCCTCTAAAGGCCGATCCCCATGCGACTGCGAGAACCACTACCGATCTCACAAAACTCACTGCGCCTGCGCAGGAGCCCAAGCTCCGAAATCGAACGTCCAAAAGACATGGTATTCGCGACGACTCTGACCATCAGCCGCTGTCATCAGCCTCCATCGATCCTTTCCCGCAAGGAAGGAATGTTGGGCCCGCGAAGCACGATCAGGCGAACGCATCCTACCCCCCCCACACCCCCAACTATGAACGAGAACCCTTCGCTACGCATTCGGGAAAATAGGGTCGCCAAACATTTTAGCAATAGAGAACCCTTGAAACAAACGTTGACTTCGATACTATTTTTGAAAATTTTGCGTTATAGAAGATCCTGAGGGTCAAACATTGCTACCTACTGAATTCCCTACCAAGTCCTCTTTGCAGTCACCCCTGGGCGTGCAGGACAATATCGTCCTTAGCGCAGGTCTCCATCATGTGGAAGCGGCGAAGCACCAGCAATCGCCTCAATGAAAACGAAGGATTGATGCCAAATCAACTTCCTGGTCTTCTTGCTTGGGGCCTCTGAGCTTCCACGTTGACGCTGTTGTCCATATCTGGAAAGGCATATGCAGTAATTGTGTCTTGAAGCGCGTCGCGTGAAATCTATTGTTTGCCTTCGGCCTCAGGCACTGGAGCACCTGAAAACTTGTTGGACGATGGCGCAATGTGGCGCAATGCACTTATATAAGTTGCTGTTGATGACAGTGCTTTGAAGGCAAGATTGGAAGAGGCTCCCGCCATCGCTCGGTCTCTTGGGGACCATGTCACGTTTGAACTTCTGGGCCTGACAAGCTTGAAACGCTTGCAATCAAAAACTTGGCAAACTCTTGCAAAATTGTGGGGGGGTTGGCCTGCAGGGTTGCAACATTAGGCCATTAAATGCTAATGATGACAGCAAGACTAGTTTATGACGCGAGGCATGGTCACGAAACACCACAAGTAGCAACACCACGTGCCTTGAGTCTCGAAGATTGACGAATTCTAATTTAGTATATAAAAAACTAAAGCCGAAGAACACACGTATTTGTCGGGTCATTTCTTGAAAAGACTAATTTGAATGACACAGAGTTGAACACACAAAAACGTATCCACTTCTGATGCGTATTCCAAATTCAGGTAACATTTGTCTATGTGAAAAACAAGTTGTTTCACTGTAAATTTTCTGAAGTGAAATGCAGAAACGCATGATCCAATAATCATTTGTTCACGTTCACCAAATGAAGCACTAAACACTTTTAAGGTTTGGAAGCATGCGCGGTAAAGTAAAAATAATGTAGCGTAAATGGCTATTTTATCCCTACCCATTCTGGGGGGGGGGACCTGAAAAATTGTAACTTACATTTCCCCCTAACATATACCTAACAAAATGCAAGTTACATTTGTTAGGCAAACCCCCAAAAAAATGTAACTTCTTTAAGTTACATTTTTCAATATGAAAATGTAACTAAATAGGGGAAAATGTAAATTACATTTTTCAGGCCTTTCCCAGGGAAAATGTAACTTGCATTAAGTCACATGTCTCATGGTTGCAGAATGCTGCACAGAATAGTCTGTGCAATTTAAAATAGATCCTGGGTCGTCGGTTAATTTCATTATTTTCAAAACTGAATTTAGTGACGTCGTCTAAATTACGAAATTATTTTTTACGTCGTGTGCCCTAACGCCCCCAGCCAGCCAACACGCTGGCCAGCCAGGGGCGACCAAAGCTGAAGCCACGTGTCCACCTGAAAATGTACATTTTCTACAAAGGACAAACAGCCCCACACACCTCAAAACACAACCAACCCAGCACAGAAAGGTGCACTTAAATGTAACCA